TGGCGGCTTTACTTTCTTACTCACTTTCTCTTTCTCACTTTGTCCCTCTCTAATCTAAATAACTAAATTAAATCATTGAAAAAAAATTAAAAACAAAAACATAAAAAAAAAAAATAACTTTTATTTGTCCCTCTCACCAGACTAAGCTGCTTTAGGACAATAGTAGTTTTTGTTTGTTTGTTTGTTTTTAGGAATTATTTAATTTTAAATTTATCATTATTTGGACCAGCAGATGGTATAATGGCTATATCACTGGACTCCCATATAGTCGACCGCGGTTCAAGTCCCAGACCCACTGGCTTAAACTCACACCAGGCACTTGTGCGTGCAAGCCCAAGATCCTGAGAAAAGAACCAGACATTAGACTCACCTGGAGAAGAAGCTTATTTAAAAAGACCTTTGTTAGGGTATCATCTTCAGAAATTTCAATTTATTAAATCAGGATGTTAGTATTTTTTTAAAGAATTATTTTATTCAACTTTATTTATTTATTTTAATTTAACCAGATAGGGATATAGCAAGAGAAAGAGAGAGAGAGAGAGAGTGAAATTGAGAAAGCGCACTACCAGATCTGGGACTTGAACCACAGTCAGCCATGTGGCAGTCCAGTCCTTTAACCACGTCACTTGTTGGTCCCACGATGGCAGTTTTTATTTATTTTTTATTTATTTTTTATTTTTGGAGAGGTTTTTGCTATAGGGTGCGTGCGCTCGCCACACAGACAGAGACAGAGAGACAGAAAGCGAGAAATCACCCCCCAGGGGGGATGGCCACGCCACAATCCTTCTCCTCCATTCTCCTCTCGGGATCTTGGGCACGCACGCACACGCGCCTGGTGTGAGTTTTAAGCCACCGGGTCGGGGACGCAAACTGCAGTCGACTACGTGGGAGTCCAGCGACATAGCCATTACGCTAACTGCTGGTCCCATGATGGCAGTTTTTAAAAGTGTGTTTATTGGAACCAGCAGTTAGTGTCCGGACCCGGGGGACAGTCGAAAAGGTTTCCTGAGGGAAGGAGTGAGAGATGGGACGAACAACGCAGTGATACAACTCTTCAGGGTCATTAGGAGACGATGCAGTGTCACAGCTCTTCAGGGTCTTCTGTTCTTCAGGGTCTTCCAGGTCATCTGGAAATTATGGCCAGGGATCGTGGTTATATACATGTTGGTGGGCGGTGATTGGTTGAATGAAGGATTGTAAAAGGTGGGTTATGATTGGTTACTTTTGTGGACCAATCATGAGGTGCCGGATATGCAAATCTGAGGGATTCTAAGCTCACCAATTTGCTATGGGAAGTGGCCAATCAGAGCATGGTTTTGAAGGTGAGGTTTTTGAAGGGGAGCCAATCATGGCCTTTGGCATTGTGTAATTGTTTGCTCTCTGAGAAACCAGCGATATTCTCTGGTGCGCAGCCTCCCACAGTTAGCATAATGACTATGTTGCTAGACTCCCATGTAGTCGACCGCAGTTTGAGTCCCAGACCCGGTGGCTTAAACTCACGCCGGACACATGTGCGTGCGAGCCCAAGAACTGAGAGGAGAATGGAGGAGAAGGGATTGTGGCATGGCCATCTCCCCTAGGGGGTGATTTCTCGCTTTCTGTCTCTCTGTCTTTCTGGCAAGCACACACGCCCAGCAGCATAAAACCTCTCCAAAAAAAAAAAAGTGCTTATTTCTTTCAACCATAAGAGACAGAGACAGAGAGACAGCACCCCAAACAGAGTCTTTTTTAAAAAAAGAGATTATTTTATTTTATTTTATTGATTATTATTCAATTCGATCAGAGAGAGACAGAGACACAGAGAGAGAAAGCAAACTGCCAGGTCAAGGGCTCTGTGGGAGCCCAGTGCCCTAACCACCATGCTACCTGCCAGTCCCTAGGCAGAGTCTTGATGCCACAATCTGCCCGTCTCAGCCAGCCCCAAGTCATGGGCACTTGGGAGGGAGCCTGGACAGCTCAGGGAGGTCTCTGGCTGCGGAACTTTCCCACAGGGGGGCCTGGCAGAATATGTTGCATTTGACCCCTTGTGCCACCACCCGGCCCAAGACGAGGACTTTTCAAGCTGTCCCTCTTGCACATAGCTCCGGCTCACGGGAAGCACTTGGTGTCCCTGGGCCAATGGTGGGACATCAGGAGAAGCTGGTGTTTAGGGAGGGGAAGAAGGAGTGGGATTCTGCTTTGGGCCACTTGGGGTCTGAAATGCCACCAGGACACCCAGGGGACTGGGCTGTGTGGGAGGTGGGAGTTGGAAATAGGCTGAGCACGAATGGCCTCGCTCTGAGCCAGCGGATGCTCAGTGCCTGGCGTGCTTTCTCCCCTCCATCCCCAGGGAGTGGGTTCTATCAATCCGTGATGGTAGCCGAGGCTCAGAGAGGGACACTAAGGTGCCTTACAGCTAGAAACAAGCACAGCAGGACTTGAATCCAGGTCCACGTAATGCCAAAGTCCAGGCACTTGGGGCCAGCAGGTGGCGTAGTGGTTAAGGTGCTGGACTCCCACACGGGCAACTGCGATTGGAGTCCTAGATCTGGCAGCTTGGAGATCACGCTGGGTGTGTGTGCGTGGGTGCCCAACATCCCAGGAGGAGATGGAGAAGGGGTTACAGTGTGGCCACCCCCCACCCCCCACTCCTCCCCACCGGAGTGATTTCTCATTTCCCTCTGTCTCTCTCTCCCCAGGAGTACACACACCCTATGGCAAAATCCTTTAAAAAAAAGAAAAGAAAAAAGTCTAGGTACTTAATCCCTCTTCCATATGGTGGACTAAAAAGGACTGGATTTCCAGAACACATACCTTTAAGGGAACATCATGGGGGGATTGGAGAAGGCACTGTCGGGGGGGCGGGGGGGACACAGGGAGGCCAGGAGAAGGCTGCAGGAAGGGCCAGGGCCAGGTGAGCAGCATCTGTCCAGGGGAGATCAAGCCGGGTGGGGCGGATTTGGTCACTGGGAAGCAACCTTCCTTCCAGAGAGCTGTCTCCACAGGCAAGCCTTGCTGGAGCTAGTAGGGGGCCTGCAGGGTGGGAGGTGAGAGGTAGCGGCTGCGAGGATGAGAAGAGGTGGGCAGGAAGGGAGCGCCCTGCGGTTCACGGCCCAGAAAGGCTGCGCTAGTGGGTAGGGGCAGGCTGGGCAGTACTGGGATGGGTGTGAGCAGTGGGCGGAGGGGTGTGTTTTTAGGCCAACCTGTACCTGGACAGCCTCGAAGTGCCCTGCCCCCCCATCACATCCCTGTCTTGCAAGCCAGGCCACAACCTCCTTATCCCAGTGCGTCCTCCCTCTGCGCACAGCTCCCCTGAGGTTGTCCAAGACCAGCCACCCCCACCGCCTGCTGTCTCACCCTCCGGTCGGCCTGGTGAGGCAAGCAGGGAGGAGTTTCCAGGCAGGAAAGCGCTGAGTCACTCTGCCGCACATCTGGCCTCAGACCTTGCTACCCAGCTGGAAGGGCAGGAAGGAAGAGGCTCCCCCCCAGTCCTCCAGCCCTGCTCCCAGTGCCAGCCCCTGCTGGGCTGCCTCCCCACGCCATGGAGGGTGCCTTTGTGCTCGGTACAGCCCCGGGATAGACTGGGTGCCCCCTTTCCAGGTGAGCACTCGGGGAGACGGTGGCATGAGTACAGGTCCTCACGGAATTGGAGAGCGGCCCCACCCCACCGTGTCCGCGCCCTGTGTGTGGCCACACTGGACAGGACGATGTTCAGGGACAGTGGGCGACCAGCAGACAGACACCCCATGCTCCCACCAAAATGGCCCCTTCCCAGAGTCCCGGTGGAGGGAGGGCTGCCCTGACCCGCCCAGCCCTGCTCCTGCTTCTGGCTCTGCTCTGGGCCCCAACCCCTGCTGCCCCCCCACATCTTTCATCTTCCCCTTCCCTGCTGCGAGGACTGTGGGGGCCATTGTTCTGAGTGAAGAGAGGTGTCCAGCTCCTGGGAGGGGCCGGACGTGCCAGGACCTCTGGTCTCCACAGTCCGCTCAGCTCAGCAGCCTTTTCTAGGGCCCGGTGAGACACTGGGTATGTCACTTCGCTCCTCTCAGAATGGGGCTTCCCACCCATGGGACAGGGAAGAGCTGTTCTCTCATAGACCCAGATGGTCCCTGATATTTTTTTTTTTTTTTTTTTGGAGAGATTTTCACTGTAGGGCGCGTGTGCTCACCAGACAGAGAGAGACATAGAGACAGAAAGCGAGAAATCACCCCCCAGAGGGGATGGTCACGCCGCAATCCCTTCTCCTCCATTCTCCTCTCGGGATCTTGGGCACGCACGCACATGCGCCCGGCGTGAGTTTTAAGCCACCGGGTCCGGGACGCGAACGGCGGTCGACTATGTGGGAATCCAGTGACATAGCCATTACGCTAACTGCTGGTTGCCCCTGATATTAATTTTTTATTAACTTTTTTCCCCTCTTTTTAAGTTTTTGCTATAGGGCGTGTGCACTCGCCAGAGAGAGACAGAGAGGTAGAGAGAGAGGGAAAGTGAAAATCTCCCCAGGACGAGGTGGAATGGCTATGCTGCAATCCCTTTTCCTCCATTCTCCTCTGGGGATGTGCCTGGCTTGATTTTCACGCCACCAGGTCCAGGACTTGAAGCACAGAGTAGGCCATGTGAGCATCCAGCTGCCTTAGCCACCACGCCACCTACTGGCACCAATTTCTTTTTAAATTTTTTTAGAATTATTTTATTTTAACTGTATTTTATTTATTTTAATTTAACCAGAGAGGGACAAAGAGAGAGAGCGTGAGAGAAAGCAAGCTGCCAGGTCCGGGACTTGAACCGTGGTCGGCCATTTGGGAGTCCAGCGCTCCTATCCATCATGCCATCTGCCGCTCACTGGCTCCAATTTCTGATTTTCCTCATTTTTTTTTAAGAATTTTTATTTATTTATTTATTTATTTACTTTAATTTAACAGAGTGAGAGAGAGAGAGAGATTGGGAAAGTGAGAGAGCAAGCCACCAGGTCCAGAACTGGAACAGCCATCGGCCATGTGGGAGTCCAGCACCCTAAACCACCACACCACCTTCTGCCCCCCACCCGGTTTTTCCTTTAAAAAATGCAAATAATAATAAAACCTCTCCCACACCGCCTAAAGGAGGCACCACCTCGTGCTGGAAGAAGAAACCAGTACCATTACTGAGGGGCTTCTGACCACAGAGTGAATCCCTGCCTGCTGAGGATGTGGGAAATGCAGAGACACGCACGTTCGTGAACAAAGTCACCTGAAACTCCACCCTGAGCACCTCTTAAGTGACGATGTTTCTCCCTGTTAGTTTGCTATAGACGCGTGTACAACAGAGAGACCGATCCAGAGGGAGGGGAAACCGAGAAAGCAGCCCCCAGAGGGAAGGCCACAGGGCCATCCTTTGTCCTCCGGTCTCCTCTCAGGATTTTCAACACACACACACGCACACACACGCGCGCGCACGCGCACACACACACCTGGCATGATTTTCAAGCCACTGGGTCTAGGACTTGAACCGCGGAGTAGACCATGTGGGACCCAGCCACACACCTGCTGGCCTGGTGAAGATTTTCTTACACCGAGTGGGACTGTCTTCCCTCCCTCTCCAGGCAGGACTCAGCCTTCCAGGCTGGCGCGGTGGTGGTGGTGCGTATAATCAGCATGTTCCGTTTCCTCTCTGGGCCTCAGTCTCCCTACATGGAAAGGAAGGGAAGGGCTGAACGACTCAAGGGGGACACAGACTCGTCTCACAGTCGGCCGAGCCTCCAGTGCGGTAGCTCTGGCTCAGGAGAAGAGCCCTGTGGCCGACCACCATGTCTGCTGTGGTAGTCAGGAAGTCGCGGTAGCATGTAGCGCCGCGTTCCAGCAGTCTGGCTCTGAAAGCCCAAGTGACTTCTAAGAGCCCTCTCTCCGAGTCCCTATTCCAGACCCTGGCTTCCTCTGGGAAGGTGATCCTGACTGTTCTCGCACTCCGGACCTGTCTTCGGCATCCTCCTAGCTCCGACTTAACACTCCTCATTGGACTCCCTCTGCAGAGCCGAGAATGGCTCCCTCAATCCAGACTCCAATCAGAATGATCGTGGGGAACTGAGGAGGGAAGGGGGTTGGGCACTTCCTCACTAACCCAAGTATGCAGAGCTGGCCCTGTGGCCTGTTGGTTAAGGAAGCTGGATCCCAGACCACCAGCACATGGTTTGAATCCCAGACTCAGAAGCTTGGAGAGCTCAGTGGGTATGTCCAAACAGGGTGAAGAAAGGGAGGAGAGTGTTGAGGTGTGACCGTCCCTACTGGGGGGGACTTTCTTTCTCTCTCTCCCTCTCTGTCTCTCTGTCTCTCGCTGGCAAGTACAACACCCTTTGGCAAATACATTTTTAGCAAAGGAAAGTATGCAAATAGGCTGCATAGGAGCCATTCCCCCGCAGCCTAGGCTTGGCTATTTGAATATTAAATGATCTGATGCAAATGAGCATTCTCTGGGCCACGGGCCAGTGTTGGGGGGGCAGTGTGGAGACAGCCCTCCCCCACGGGGAGGTAGAGTGGCCCCAGTTCCAATGCAAGGGCTCTGCAAGGGGGACCTGGACTCAGCGAGGGGACAAAGACTCGGGCTGCGGCTCTGGGGTTTGGGGTGGCCAGTAAAGGGAGAGGCATGGGTAGCAGAGATGGGCCCAGTGATACGGGGGTGCTGGGAGGAGGACGCAGGGAGGGCGCTTGGCGGGGGCCAAGCCCTGTCTTAATGTTGACTCTTGCTCTCCCCAGGAGTCGAGGGGGACTCACTGTCCGCGTTTCCTGCCCTACCATCTGGAGGCTTCAAGGGCTATAACCCAAGGGCATGGGGTGGGCAGCCCCGGGTCCCTGGACAGGGACTCTCTTGTTCCAGGACTCACAGTGCCTCTCTAGAAGCTGCCTCCAGCCTACAAGGCCTTGGAGACAGGAGGGACCTTCCAGGAGTAAGAAAACCCAGGAAAGCCTCCCTGTGCTCAGGACCCAGACCTGCGTCCCTCTCACTCCAGAGTCGGCCTTTCAGCCCAGTCCAGGGGCCAGGGCTCTCCGCACTGGGCCATCATCAGTCTCTGGCCATAGCCAGGCAGCCACAGCCTCGTCTTCAGTGCAGCCCAGGCCCAGGCAGTGGAGGGGCCCGAGGTCAAGGGTCGATAATAGCCTGGGGGGAGAGCCCAGCTAAGGGCTTTCTTGGATGGCTCCCACAGTGGCTCTGCCGGCTCTGCCAGCGGATCGGATGCTGCAGGCAGAGGGGCACTCTCCCTCCCGCCTGCCAAGGCTAAGCTGGGGCTGGCACAGCACAGGGCCCGACCCCACCCTGATCCCTGAACTCTGAGCCCGCATGCACCTTCCACACCTACCCTTCAGGCCAGGCTGGGGTCAGGCCGGGCCACCCATGGAGCCTGAAACAGGACACCCGGGCAGGGAAGAGGGATCCAGGGCCACGGCTGCCATCCGATCTGCAGGCAGAGAGGCTGTGCACTGGCACCCCTGAGTCTGGGCTGCAGAGGGGTGCCCTGGCTTCTGTGGAAGAGCAGCAGACATCTGTGAGGGGCCCAAGCCTGCAGGCATGGAGCGGGTCTGTGGGGTTGCTGATCCTGAGGGGCCCCGGACCAGGACAGAGGAGCAAAGGTCCCACCGCAGGGCCTCGGCCGACCTCAGGCACCTGGCCGTCAGCACACTTGCTGAAACTGCTCTGAGAGAAACGAAGCCCCCACCGCCTGCTGCAGGGACGTGGCCACGGTCGGCCTGGACCCAGGGCAGTGGTTCAGGTTCCAAGGGCCCACCTTGCCCGCAGTCCCAACTACGGGTTTCATAGGTCTGCATACCTGAACCAGGTGGCCCAACTGGCCTGCCGCTACCTGGGCTGGCAGTGGGCTCGCCCCAGGGCTCTGCCATCCCTCGGCTGGTTCCAGGTCTGTGAGGTCAGAGCCAGGGCTCTCGTGGGTGCAGGAAGGACCAGGCAGCAGGAGCCGGGTGGGCAGGAGGCGCACAAGCCCAGCACAGCGGGGTCTCTGTGGCCACTGCGGCCCCCAGGCTGGGGAGCAGCAGGTGCCACAGCAGAAGCAGCAGCCAGCTGGGTGGGCGGGGACCACTTCTGCTTCCCTGTGCCATGAGGACTTCCTGGGGGCCTGGAGGGGAGGGCGCCGGCCTGTCATCCTGCCTTCCCTGCGTAGCCTCACAAGGCCTGTCCTGGAGCATCCCTCCGGTCCTCATCACCCCAGAAGGTCAAATGCGGGACCAGCAGGCCTTGTGGTGGCCGAGCCGCGGGCTTCCCACGTGGGCCACCATGTTTGAGTCTAGACCTGGCAGCTTGCTTTCTCACTTTCTCTCCCTCTGGGACCAGCAGGTGGCGTAGTGGTCGGGCGCCGGGACGCCCACATGGCTGACCACGGCTTGAGCCCAAACCCAGCAGCTGGCCTCCTCCACCAGCTGATGGCAGCCCTGGGGTCCAGAGGAACCCCGGACTTGAAGTCCACAGAGGAGTCAAGTCCTGCTTGTGCGAGGGGTCTGTCCCCTAGGGCCTCAGTTTCCTCAGAAATTTGGGGGTAAAGCCTGCCACCCCAGAGGCTGTCGGAGAAGGAAATGAGGGTGAAGGAGAGACCAGCAGGTCCCAGCCTTCCCCAGGCCTGCCTTCACACTCTGCTGCCCTCTGGCCCGTCTCCGCTGCTCCTATCCACTCCAGAAGGACGTCCACCCACCAAGCCAGGACCCTCTGCTCCGACCAGGCCCCCTCGGGCTGAGTCGAGGACTCTAGTGACATCCTCAGGGGTTCTGCTCTGAAAGGGCCTCCAAGGGACAGAGGTGAGTGGAGGCAGAACGTCAGCCATGGCAACCAGCCGGCGGGGAGGGCGCTTCCGCTGGAGTCACTTGGTCACGTTTCCCCAACGTGCCCTTCGGTCTTGGGGAGAAGCCACGGCCGGAGTCAGCCTCTGGTTAGGACAGGAAGTCCTGCGGGGCTGTGCTGGGACTCACATGAGACTGTGTCACCTCGGCCCTGGGTGCCGCTGCACGGAACTGTCTCGGGTCAACCCCCACTGCTGCCAACGTCTCATGGTTTCCTCCTTCCTCTCTGGGGCCAGAGGCCAGCCGTACTTAGACTGGCCCTCCACCCCTGCTGGCTCTCACAGCGTGCACTCCTGAGCCTGAGAGATCTGGTTCAAATCCTCGCTGGCCGCTTCCCACCTGTGATCCCAGGTGAGTGGCCGCCTCTCTCCGAGCAAGACTCAAGTGGACGACATGGCAGCGTGGGAAGGGCCCGGCCATGGGCTCACTGAACGTCAGGTTCCTTTCTTCCTCCCAGGACGAGCCTTTGGCTGAGGCCTCGGTTGGGGCTGGGCAAAGCCAGGGGTCCTTCCAGAATCTGTACAAGTGGTGGAATGAGGCCCAGCATGGCAGCACAGGTGAACACCGCATGGTCCCCTGTGCCCAAGTCGCTGGCGAGGGCTCCGGGGGAGGGTCGTGGTGAGACCTGTCAGGGGTGGTGCTTACTCTCTCTTTAGAAGAGGAAAACAAGGTGTCACGTACCCCAACACTCCTGCCCGGGTGGCCCGTGCCGGTCACTGCAGACCTTGAGCCTCGAGTGTCTGTTGTCACGTGTACAGGGGAACATGGCTTGCTGGTCACAGAGGCTGCCAGGAAGGGGGACTGAGCCTCCGTCCCGGAGGGAAGAGGCCCGCTGGGCTGAGGGGTGCTCTTCAGGGCTGCGTGCTCCGTGTAGGGCCAGAAGGCCGAGGGAGGGGACACGGTTCTGAAGAAGGGCAGGCTCTCAGCCTGCGTCGGTCATGGCGGCCGCTGTGTGCGACTGGTCTCAGGTTTGTGCTGAGGACTCAGGTCACGCTCGGCCACGCGAAGGCACCGTGGAGACTCACCGCCTCGGCCACATCCTCCCAGACGTCCAGGTGGGCACCTCGCTCAGCGCACCCCGGGCACACCAGAGGCGTTCTCAAACACGTCCGTGCACACCCGCACACGCGTCCTCGCCATGCAGAGGCACGCCCAGTGCGTTCATTCGCCCACGCCTGTGCATGCGACGCCCACGGGCCCGAGGGTCAAGGCGACACACACACCGGACACGCAGACACACCCACAGGAGGGGCGCAGTCACGCGCACTCACGAACGTGCGCCCGGGGCGCAAACACAGAAGCACACGTGAAGTCCTCGGAGATGCTCACACGTCCTTGCAAACGTGCGCACGGAAGCCGAGCGACTCCTCGCAGCCAAAGCACGGACGCACTCCTTGCACATACGCCCGCAGGCCCCATGCACACAGGCGCTGCCGGCCTCCTCCACATCACCGGGCGCTCAGCAAGCTTCCTCCTCTGCAGCCAACCGCCGCTCAGCTTTCTCCCCTCCCACTTCCCGCCGTCCTCCGGGGCCTCTGGGCCTCCCTCCAGAGCTGGGGGAGGGGGTGGGCCTCTGGCCCTGCTGATGTGGCAACCGCTCACCTGCAGCCGGGCCACACCCTCCGCTGGGAAAGACTTAAAGGAGCCGGAATCCCGGGTGTGCCCCACTGCCCCACACCTGGTGTCAGGTGTGCCCCTCACCTGGGGTGAAAGGAGGCCTGCTCACTGCTCCTCAGTGGAGAGCCCTGGAGAGGGCTCAGATGGCGAGTGGGACTCACCCAGGACTCCGGTGCCAGGAGCTCATGCTGGGAGTGGGAGCCCAATGGGCCTACCTCCTGCCTTCTGCCTCCTGCCTCCTGCTGCCTGCTGGCTCTGCACACCCCACTGCTCCCCGCTGTCCCCAGGCGCCCTGACCAGTACTCCCACCCTCTGCAGTCCTCAGCTGGGGGGGCGCAGTATGCCAGGTACCCAACCAGAAACCTGGGGTCTCCCTGCACACCCTCTTGGGGAATCTCCCCCTTCCCCCCCACCCTGGCCTGTGGTGTGCTGTCAGGCCTATGGCCCCACTGCACCTTGGTGGGAGGACAGTTTGAGTGGTGGGCAGGTGGCAGGGGTGGGGAGGGGCCGAGAAGACATAGCCATGCCCATTGGAGCCACCGGCCTGACAGGAAATCCAGCTGGGCTCTGCTCCTTGAGCACTCAGCTTAACCAGGGTAGGTGCGTTCTGTCCTCAGGGTCCCATGGCTGGTTAGTGGGAGACCACAGCCGAGCCCCAAGGGCTCCACAGCCCAGTAAAAGACAGCCTGCCGGAGCCCTGGGCTGGGAGGGGAGGTGCTCCCTAACTAGTGGCAGAGACATGACACTTGCCCGGGGTTCCCAGTCCAACGGGGCCATTCGCCTTCTCCTGGGGCCTGCTAGGCTGGAAAAGAGACACTCTCTTCTCAGGAACCCTGAGAAGAGCCTGAATCTAGGACCCAAAGGGACCCAGACGCAGAGACAGAGAAGTGAGCGCCCAGGAGCTGGCTTTGTGCGGCCCCTGCAGGCTGTGCCTCTGAGCCCAGCGTGGACCCGTGGCTGCAATCACTGGACACGCGTTGTGCTGGACGCTCGCTGTGCTCCAGCAGACCTGGAGCCCCCACGGGGGAGGGTCGCTCTCAGGGGCATCGCCTTGCAATGGGGGAAATTAAGCACGAAACAAGATGGCATGATGGCCAAGGGTGCTGGGTTCCCACATGGCCAACCACGGTTCGAGTCCTAGACCTGGCAGCTTGCTTTCTCACTTTCCCCTTCTCTTGCTCACTCTGTCCCTTTCTGGTCAAATTTAAATTAATTAATTTTTTAAAAATGCCACGTGCACCTGTGCAGAGGAGCACAGGGCCCTGTAGGAATATAGGGGAGGGGCTTCCAGGAAGAAGCGATGTTTCAGCTGTACCCTGAGTGACAGGCTCTAGGGCTAAGGCCAAGGGGGTTCCAGGCAGAGGGAACAGCATGTGCAAAGGATGGTGATCTGGGGAGAGGGCACTCAGGAAAGATTTTTTTCTTTGCTTTCTTTTTTTTTTTTTTTTTGTTATAAGCTTTTTGCCATAGGGCGCATGTGCACACAGAGGAGAGGCAGAGAGACAGTGAGAGGGAAAGCGAGAGATCACTCCCCAGGGAGGATGGCCACGCCGCAATCCTCCTCCACTCTCGTCCTGATTTGGGTACGGATGCACACATGCCTGGCATGAGTTTCAAGCCCAAGTTCAAGATTCAAACTGTGGTTGGACATGTGGGAGTCCAGCGCTTTAAAACCTATGCCAGCTGCTGGCCCTGAAAGGTTTTCTTTAAAGAAAAAATCATTGCTAGAGGGGCCATACACTCACCAGAGAGAGAGAGGAAAGTGAGAAGGTACCCCTGGGGAGGATGGCCACAGCAATCCCTTCTTCATTCTCCTCTCTGGATTTTGGGCACACACGCCCAGCGTGATTTTTAAGCTGCTGGGTCCAGGACTTGAACCGCTTAGTCAGCCAAATGGGATCCAGTGGCTTAACCACCAGGCTACCAGCTGGCCCAGGAAAGGTTTTCTAGGCAAAGTGACTAGACTAGACTAGACTAGACGGGATTTTGTTTTGTTTGTTTCCAGAGGTTTTTGCCATAGGGTGCGTGCACTTGCTGGCGAGAGAGACAGTGACAGTGAGAAGGAAAGTGAGAAATCCCTCCCCTCCCAGGGGATGGCCACTCTGCAATCCCTTCTCCATTTTCCTCCTTCTCCTCCTGGGGTCTTGGGCACACACACACACACACACACACACACACGTGCTAGGTGTGAGTTTCAAGCTACCTGGTCAGGACTCAGCTGCCGTAGGTCGTGTGAGTCCAGCGGTGTTCCTGGGTGGGGTTTTGGAAGAGGAAGGCTAGCTTCAGTTTGAGGGTGTGGTGGGAAGGCCGGAGCCGTGCCTACTGGTGGAAGGACAGTGCACTGAGGGTCCTGGGGGTCACAGACCGTGAGGAGGGGAAGCTGCTGAGTGGGCCTCCAGACCAAGGGGCCCCAGGGAGGAAGGGGACTCAGAGCTCCCTCACAGAGAAGAGGTGAGAATTAGGGGGATGCGCTGCACCCGGCTTCTCTCCTGCGACCCCGCCCCCGGGACTCATGCCCCCCTCGCAGACCTCTGTGGGTGTATTTCCATCAGGAAATGAGCAAACAGGTTTAGAGTAGCCCAGGGGACAGAGCCAAACAGAGTGAGTGTGCCGGGTTCGAACCGGCTGTTCGATCATAGCCTGGCTCCTTCCCCACACGGGAAAACCCCTATGAAATCAGGAAAAAATGGCTGCAGGTGGGGCCGGCGCACGTACTGTTACTGCCCTTTATGTTATTCACTATCACTCAGACGTCCAAGGTCGTCCTCCCTGCTGTCCGCGGGCCTAGGGCCTGAAAGCTCAGGGCCCGGGCGGCCTCGTGCGGCGGTGGCCGGGACGACAACACCAGGGCGTGAGGTGGGCGTGGCGGCGACGCCTGGAGGCAGCTCCGGGCATGGCCTCCGCACAGGTGGTCGGTACCGCGCAGGCCACAGAGGAAGCGAAAGCGGGACGTGGGAAACTTGGAGGCGCCCCGCACATCGTATACTGGGCGTTTCCTCCGCACTCCCCCAGCTACCGCTGCCCAGCCCGTTCCCAGAGCAGAACCTCAATTCAGGAAGGCGAGTGGTATTTCCCAGAGAGACAACCAGAGTGTGGCCATGCCTGGGTCCCTGGGGGTAGCCCCGCTAGGAGGGCAGGGATAATGACAGTGATGCTGAAAACCACTGCCTGGGTGCCAGCAGGTGGCCTAGTGGCAAGGCGCTGGACTCCCACATGGCAGACTATGGTTCGAGTCCCAGACGGTGAGGCTTTAAAATCATGCCAGGGGCATGTGCGTGTGTGTCCCAAACCCTAGGAGGAGCATCAAAAGGGATGGTGGCATGGCCATCCCCTGGAGGGTGATTTTTCACTTTCTGTCTCTCTGTCTCTCTGTCTCTGGTGATCGCACGTGCTCTATAGCAAAAATCTCTAATAAATAAATAAATAAACCGACTTGCTGGGCGGGCCGGATGGCGCAGTGGTACTGTGCCGCTCAACAGCAGCTGCCCAACACGCCACCTTGTCGGGACTGTCAGCCTGACACACCCAGTGCCCACCCTCGTATAGACGGGGACAGGAGAGCTCAGCGCGGCGAGGCCCCATGGGAGGTCTCCTTTACCACCCATCTGTCTCTGTCTCTGTCTCTGTCTCTCTCACTGGTGTGGGCACACACGTGCTCCATCATTAATTTAAAGCAGTCTGGGGACCGGCAGGTGGTGTGGTGGTCAAGTGCACTGGACTCCCACATGGCCAACTGTGCTTCACGTGCCAGACCTGGAAGCTTGCTTTCTCGCTTTCCCTCCCTCTCTCTCTGTCTGTCTCTGTCTCTCTCTGGTCAAATTAAAATAATAGTAATAATGATGAATAAAATTTTAAAAACGAAACAAAGCACAGTGGTTAGACAAGAGAAGGCACGGAAGGGAGCTTGGGCACCACCGTCTCCTGCCTGTGTGACCTTGGTGAGCTAACCCGCCGGCCCTCTCCACGCCTGTGTGCTTATCAGCAGAGCTTTATCACAGGCCCCGAGTCACGATGCAGCCCTGAGGATTCACGGGGATGGCGCGGGCAAAATGCCTAGCTGTCCACCTGGCATAGAGTAGGGGCGCAAGAAAATAGCTCCCAAGCACGCCTGGCGGCCTGGCGGTGAAGGGAGTCGGGCCCAGTGGCCCTGCGGTGAAGGGGTTGGTGGCTGACTGCGTGTATCAGTCCTGGACCCAGTAGCTTAAAACAGATGTGTGTGCTTCAAATCCCAGTAAGACAGAGCGATGGGGACAGGCTTGTGGCATGACCCCACCCCCTTCGGAGGTGATTTCTCCCTTTCTCTCTGTCTCTCTCTGTTGAGTACACACGCCCTCAAGCAAATTTTTTTTAAAAAGAAAGAAAACAGCTCGAATTGTTTACTCATTCAGCTAGCATTTATTGAAAATTTAAGGGAGGGAGCAAGCAGGTGGCATAGTGGTTAAGACACTGCACTCCCATGTGGGCAACTATGGTTTGAGTCCCAAACCCAGCGGCTAGAAACTCGTGCCGGGTGCATGTGCGTGCGTGCCCAAAATCCTGGTAAGAGAACGGAGAAGGGATTGTTGCATGACCATGCTCCAGGGGGCGATGTCTCACTTTCCGTCTCGCTGTCTCTCCTGTGAGCGCACATGCCCGATACCAAAAATCTGGAAAAGGAAGGAAGGCAGGACACAGGGCTTAGGGATACAGCCGTGAGACATCGCAGATGTTGTTCTTGCTTTACTGACTCGCTAGTCTCTGTCCCTGGGAGTTAGTACCTCGCCTAGCTAAAATGGTGAGAGACGAGACAGGCTGCAGACAGTGGTACCGGATGGAAATCTCATTGTGTACACTGTATTGATGTACTGTGAATGGCTGTAAATAAACAGATTAAAAAGAGAAGAGACGGGCTACAGTAAGTCAGGGCCTGGCTGCAGCTGCAGAGACAGGAAGAGAGAGAAAGGGAGTCTGGCTTTTTACATTTTATGTATTATTATTATTTTTCTTTAGATTTGCTATAGGGCTCATCCACTCACCGGAGAAAGACAGAGAGAGAGAGAAAATGAGAAAGCAAGCTGCCAGGCCCAGGACTTGAACTGCAGTTGGCCTTATGGGAGTCCAGTGCCTTAACCACCACACCACCTGCCAGCCCCAGAGGAAGAGGAGTGTTATTTTTCTAAGTGAATGGCAGTCTGCTCAGTCATGGTTGGAAGTCTACGGCCCGGGTTCATGCTGCGTGAGGGTTAATGGTTGCATAGCAGCATGCTGGAGGGTGGGACGGTGGGCACCTGTGTCCACATGGCTCTCAAAAAGAGAGGTTTTTTTTTTTTTTTGGAGAGGTGTTTGTTTGTTTGTTTGTTTGTTTTTGCTATAAGGAGCGTGCGCTCGCCATACAGACAGAGAGAGACAGAGACAGAAAGCGAGAAATCCCCCCCCAGGGGGGATGGCCATGCCGCAATCCCTTCTCCTCCATTCTCCTCTCGGGATCTTGGGCACGCACGCACACACGCCCAGCGTGAGTTTTAAGCCACCGGATCCGGGATGCGAACCGCGGTCAACTACATGGGATTCCAGTGACATAGCCATTACGCTAACTGCTGGTCCCAGGAGAGATTTTTTTTTAAGAATGATTTATTTTATTTCTTTATTATTATCTTTTCACACAAGTTTTGCCAGAGAAGCAGGAAGAGGGAGAAAGCAAGTTGCCATGTCCAGGATTTGAACCACAGTCGGCCATGTGAGAATTCTGGCACCTCAACCACCACACCACCTGCTGACCCCTCAACAGGAGAGATTTAAAAATAATGATAGGCTGGCCCGTGGTGTGGTGGTTGGGGTGGCCAGATCCTACAGAGCCGAGTGTGTGCTTTGAGTCCCGGGTCTGGTGCCTTGCAAAACATGGGATCAGGTGTATGCACACGCCCCAAATCCCTGAAAGGGCAGAGGTGGAGCAGAAGGGATTGTGGCATGCCCATTCCCATGGGGTGCTCTCTCACTGTCCTCTCCCTCTCTGGCAAGTGCACACGCCCTCTGGCAAAATTTTAAAAATATTGGTAGCAACAGATGGCGTGATGGTTACGTCACCGGACTCCCACACAGTAGACTGTGGTTTGAGCCCTGCACCCGGTGGCTTAAAACACACTGGGCACATGTGTGTGTGCCCAAGATCCTGAGAGATTGGAGAAAGGACTGCAGCGTGGCCACCCTCCTACCCCGGTGATGATTTCTTGCTTTCTGTCTCTTTCTCTCTCTGTCTCTCCAACAAGTGCACACACCCTATAGCAAAAATTTCTCTCTAAAAATATTTTTTTAGGGAGGCTGGCAGTTGGTGTAGTGGTTAAAGTTGCTGGACTCCCACATGGCTGACCAAGGTTCAAGTCCCAGACCTGATGGCTTGCTTTCTCACTTGCTCCCTCGCTCTTTTTGTCTCTGATCAAAACTAGAAAATAATAATAATAATAAATAAAGTTAATTTAAAAATTCTTTAAAAGAAAAAAATATTTCTTGTGCAGTTGATTAAACGTTTTTGCGTTCTCACTTTGTCCTCCCAGCAAACCTGTGGGGTCAAGAGTCTGATCTGCTGTGGAACCAGCAGTTAGTGTAATGGCTATGTCGCTGGACTCCCACGTAGTCGACTGCGGTTCTCGTCCCGGACCCGGTGGCTTAAAACTCACGCCGGGCGCGTGTGCGTGCGTGCCCAAGATCCCGGGAGGACAATGGAGGAGAAGGGATTGCGGCGTGGCCATCCCCCTGGGGGGTGATTTCTCGCTTCCTGTCTCTCTGTCTCTCTCTGTCTGTCTGGTGAGCACCCGTGCCCTATCGCAAAAACCTCTCCAAAAAAAAAAAAAAAAAAAGAGCCTGATCTGCTGAGTCCCCATGATGTGAGGGACGCGTCCGGAGGCAGTGCAGCGGCAGGGCGGGCTCCAGCCTGTGACTTCCCAAGCCTGGAGTCAGGCTTTGACTTCAGTGGCCGTGTCTGGGGCCCTGCCGGCTCCTCCCACCTCACGGTGGTTTGCGGAGCTCTTGGCAGGAGAGGCCGAGCCCACTGGCCTGCGACTTCACGGCCCTCGCTCATGTGCTGCCTCTCACTGTTTAGAAAACCTGCTAGAAGGTGCAGGCGCTCGCTCGCCAGACACAGAGGGGAGGGAGCAGCCCTGGGGGCCGGCCGTGCAATCTTTTTGCCTCCATGGTCTTGGCAGGGTATTAGCACATGTGCGCATGCACTCTTGTTTTTTGCTATAGGGTGAGTGTGTTCACCAGAGAAAGACAGAGAGAAGAGAGACAGAGTGAGAAAGCGCCCCTCGGAGGGCTGGCTACACCACAATCCCTCGGCCTCCATTCTCCTCTTAGGGTTCTGGGCACACAGGAACACATTGCCTGTCATGTTTTTCAAGCCTCTGGGTCTGGGTCTTGAACCTCATGGCTTGGCTGTGTGGGATCTAGCCACCTTAACCACCATGCCAGTGGCTGGCCCTAAGCTTCACATTTGATGACCTTCCCCAGCTCTGTGAGGAGGGTATTCATTGCCCGTTCACTGACAAGGACGCAAAGTCCGGGAGGTTGGGTTCCCAGGGCCGGCCAGGGCCAGCTGTGGGGCAGTAGGGAGCGCGTGCGGCTCGCCTCCCCTCCCCCTTGCCTCTGCACACCCCCCCCCCCCCCCCCTGCCGCTCCCACCTCATGCCCGCTCACTCACACCCCTCTCCCTGCCCCATTTCCTGGCTGAGCGAGCTGGGCCCTGGCTAGGGGGGCCCAGTCACTCCTCACCCAGAGGGCATCTGTTCAGCACTTTTCTGATTGCAGTTTAGTAGTTTTCTATTTAAAAGAATATTTATTTATTATTATATTTTGTTTTTCAAGTTTTGCTGTAGGACACGTGTGCTCACCAGAGGGAGAGAAAGCAAGGGAGAGTGAGAAAGCAGCTCTCTTGGCCCAAGCGCCAAGGGGAGGAAGAAGAATGCAGGCGGATGGGAGGACGGGGCTGTGCCCCTGTGGTGGCCTCCGGGCAGGACCGGGGTGCGGGGCTGGGCGCTGGTGCAAGCTGAGCTGCAGGGCACTGTCGACTCCGTCCCCGGATCTAGAACGTCATGGCCAGCGGCTGGCCGAGACCTCCGGGACCCACGTCGCCCAGACCGAGACAGCCCCCGCGGTCCTTCTCCCTGGGCCTGTGACGTTCTGGGACTAGTGGCGTTGCCGGGGCTGACTGCGACACACGTACGATACATCATCTTCTGTCATGGCTGAAAAGAAGGGGAAGGAGAAAAAGCAACTCACCAGGTCCAGAAACCGAACCATGAAGGCCACGTGGCAGCCCAGAGCCTTAACCAGTCCGCTGCCTGCTG